AAATCTTGGCCTGAGCAACCTTCTGCAAACTGGGTAGAAGTGAAAGTCTCACCAGAGGCCTAGTTGGGTTATGAGCTCAGGACTGGGGTATTTACCAAAGGCAGAGATGCAGATGTGGAGGACCATATTGAACCACCTTGGAACAGCACCATAAGGCCCCCTCCACTCATAGCTGTGCCATATATGATGGTCCCAGCCTTGGGCTCTACATCACTGAACTATCTTGCAGACACAGCCTTATGATATATGAGAGTACTGATCTGCATGAAGGATATCTAGATCCCCCTAGACCACAAGTTCTTTCACCTAACAGCATGATTCAATAAATCCCAAATGAATGGCAAGGACTGGAACACACAAGTATCAGTAGTACTTTTACTGCTAAACGTAAAAGAAGAATTGATTTCAGCTGGGGGAAAGACAGCTCCCTCTTAACTGATTCAAAATGTTCCAAACACATCAATTCAGATTTCAGAACAGCATAAAAGGTGGCCTTGTTTGGCCCATAGAGGCTCACTTCCAAGAACAAAAATACACTGGGCAATAAGATGCTACCCTTCTGACCAGAGATCCAAAATCTGTTAGTCTGGGATTTGGCGAAGCTGTTTTACAAACAAGTCACAAAGGGCTACAACTCAGAATCACAGTCTTGTCTAAAAAGCAAGGCCTGGTTCCCAGTGGAAATGCTGGGGTAGGGCGGGGGCAGCCCCAGAAAAGCTGGGCTCCTGGGAGTCTGCACAGCCCAGATGTTTATATTCCCTCTGCAGTTAGAACCCTGTGCTTAGAACAGTAAAGAGATTTCCAAGGTAACCAATGACAACAGAATAAGAGAATCATGGCCCCGGAAGAAGGTAGATTAAATTTTAATACTTAAAACTACATCAGTTTATTTTTAGAATGACATCAACACCAAATAAGCAAGGCAGAATGAATGGAGCTATGAAGGAGGGCCTAACTAAGGAAAGGAACATCCCAAGAATGTATACAATTTGTCCTTATTTTAAGAGTATTTTGAAGTAACTAGAGGCTTAAAGAAACCAAGACACAAAAATAAAGTCAAGACAAAGGGGAAAAACACCTGACTTTTCAGATTTATGCCACAAATACTTATTTTTCTCCCTGTTTCCAAGAGTGCAAGGCTGACTCCAGTTGAAGCCCCACATTTTGCTGTTTGCTAAAACTGTACAAAATAATTACTTCATCTGGAGAAGGTAATCACCAAGTGAAAAATTTTAAACCAGCTATACTCACCTGCTATCAAGACACTAAGCTGGTTAAAAGGCATGCAAAGGAGCTGGGGAGATGGTCTGGTGGTTAAAGTGCGTGCTGGGAAAGTACGAGGACCTGAATTCCAATCCCCAGAAACCATGGGAAAGCTGGGTATGGCATATATAACCCCAATGCTGGGGATGGAGAGCAGAAAGAGGTGGCTCCCCAAGAGGCTCACTGTCCAGCCATGCTAGCCTAAATGGTGAGCTCCAGATTCAGTGACAGACCCTGTTTCAAAAAATAAGGTGAAGGGCTAGAGAGATGGCTCAGCGGTTAAGAATACTGATTGTTCTTGCAAAAGACCCAGGTTCGAATTCCAGCACCCATATGTCAGCAAACAACTGTCTGTAACTCCAGTTCCAGGGGATCCAACAGTCTCTTCTGTTCTCTATGGGCATTGCACAACACAGGTGCACTTACCTACATGCAGGCAATACACACATACACATAAAAAATAATAAATAAAATATTTTAAAAAATAAAAAAATAAGGTGGAGAATCAATTGAGAAAAACATCCTGATGTCAACCTCTGACCTCACCAAACAAAACATACGGGCCAGCACACTCCGACACATATTCATACATCACACACACATACACACACACACACAAAAAAAAATTAAAAAGTGATTCATGGGCTGGGCATGGTGGCTCATGCCTTTAATCCCAGCACTTGGGAGGCAAAGGCAGGCGGATTTCTGCGAGTTTGAGGCCAGCCTGATCTACATGTGAGTTCAGGGCCAGCTGCGGCTGCAGGGAGACCCTGTCTCAAAGAGACCAAAAAAAAAAAAAAAAAAAAAAAAGTGATTCATGGAGTAACAGACATACAGTTTCAATTTACATAATTCCTTCAATCATTCATCCATTTCCCTCTCTTCCCTTTAATTCCCATTCACCGATCTCCGTATATTAAATGGAATGCAATCTGGTAAGCAGTTAGCATTTAACAAACCACGGATCTGTTGGGTACTGTGCTATGGACCCTTGCCATGATCCTCCAGAGACAGACAGGTATTGTTATCTAGACTATAAACCTGAGGAAAATGAAGGAAAAAGAAAAGTTAGGTGTCTACAAATTCATATAACTGGCGACTGGTAGAGCCTGAACTCGAGGCAGCAGATCTGGCAAAGGAGTCATTTAGAGATTGTACTATTACTAAGAGTAAGAGGAAGCCATGTAGTTTCTGAAAAGAGCAAGGAGCCAAGTTCAAATTCCACTTACTAGCTCTATAACCTTAAGCAAAGTACTTAACCTCTCCCAGTCTCAATTTCCTCATCTATAAATCAGGGACAGAGTAAATACAACAGATGTGAGGTACAGAGCAGGCACCAGCAAGCTACCAATACCAGCTGCAGGCAAATCAAGAAAGCCCATTTCAGTTAGAAAATAACCACTACCAGAAATAACCTCCATTGGAAATGAGCAGCTTCCCAAAAGTTAATAATTAGTTTTAAATTAGCTTAGTAATTCCATAACTCATTTAAACAAAAGAATAAGTGCTTATCATTTTTTCATTTTATTTCTGTGAACCGTGACAATACTCATTTCTCACGTCTCAAAATAAAAAGATGTTTGTTTAAAATCCAAACATTGTGGGCATCATTTGTTATTACATGACACACAGAACAAGTTTTGTAATGCAGCTGAGCATTAAATAATCTGGGGGCATTATTTAAACTAATCCACAGATTCCTCAAGAAGTAAGCAACTTTGAAATTCGGTACAGGTTCGAGTTCACACACACTGCCGTAGTATGTACACTGCAATAATTTAGAGTAAGATAAACTTGCAATGGTTCTAATTTTTCCATTTTTGAAACTTGAACCCATTCTCTGCTTACACGGCCACATGAGACAGCCTGCAATTTAACAAAATGACCAAATCCAGTCTCTCTTTAATCTACTCAGTAACTAAGTTCTTAGGTAATCGTCTGCACAGTATACAAAAGCAGCTTTGGATTCATCCCCTGTAAACTAAAATTAATCAGACAGAAGGGATGTCAACTTTAATAGCACCTCCTATTTCCCTGGCTTCCCAGCATCTGCCAGTGTTAATAATATTTAACTCACCAACTACAGTGAGAAAAACAGAACTTTAAACACAAGCTTTTTTTAAAGGCATCACACACAAAGATACTTTCCTTTAAGAAATAGTCCTACCTTTTTATTGTAATCATTTTCATAAGCATTGTTAATAATGTGTCTTCAAAACACTGAATATTTTCCTATTGCTTTTCAACTGGCACTAATGGAAAAAAAAAAACTCCTTGCCCCACCCCCAGCTGCCCATCTAAAGGCATTGCTGACAAAAGTATGTAATAAAGTGATCTGCGGATCACTGAATTGACTGTAACCGATTTACATTGCAGTTCCTTTTCTGAGGAAGAGAAAGGAAGGGGAGGAAGGAGAGAGGGTATTCTAGCTCTACTTCCAACACTGAAAATGCTGAATGTGGTGTTTTTCATTTAGCTTAGTATTGACTGTTTATGTGTATAAAGGAAAATTTTTTCGACTAAAGAAAAACATTCTAGTTTTTTGGTTTGTTTTTTTCAAGCAGTTCCTAACAGCAGATGCTTTGTTAAAGTAAGGGGGGTGGGAATCTAATGTCATTGCTTAATTTAAAGCTCTGTGAAGACACCGCCCCAACTCTGGCGCAGGTATTTTCTCCTAACACACAATACCCAATTGTAAAATTGTAAGTTGACATTCTGGCCAATAGAAATGGAGTGATCTGTGCGCTACTGCTACTTATCAAGTACCTTCTACACCAGTTAGGTACCCACTGCGAGCCTAGCAAAGGGCTAACTTCTTTATACACAATGCCTCGGATGCTGAAAAAAAATGCATTTCGTCACGTTTGGAAGGTGAGAAAGATGATGGAGGCGAGTCTGCTCCGAGCCATGGCCAACAGTCCCTGGACTCACACTGCCCTTTCCCGCCCTCTTCAATTTTCAACCCCAACTTCTCAGCTCTAAGCGGTCCCTCTTCCCCGGAATCTAGAGAGCTCACTGGTAGGATGACTTTGCACCTTGAAAACATCACACTAAAATCAGGCCTTTTCCAGGTTGAGGGTAAGGAAGGGAATCTGGGTGCAAAGAGGCAAGACACAGGTAAGCGGGGAGAGGCCACCTAGGGCCTTTCATGGCTCTCGGGTGGGCCAGCGCTGCTCTGCGGCACTGAGTGGGAGCTGCCAGGCCTCTGGGGCTGGGATGAGCACCCCTGCCTGAGCAGCTCCGAGGTCCCCTGGACCAGTCCCGGGATCGGGGTGCTGCGGAGCTCCACTGATGGCTCAGGGCGCACAGCTGCCCCCACCGGGCCACTTCTGGAACAAGTTGGAGAGGTCGCCGCGGGGGACCACCACCCGGGGCCGGGGCGCGCGCAGGGGTGCCCGGCTCGGAGCTGCCCCGGACTCTGCGGCCGAAGTTGACCACACCAGGATGGGGGAACCGACGCGGAACCTTGTCAGGGGAATGAGATGGGGTAGGAGGGTCCCCCCAAAAGGCCCAAGGTGGCCAAGCAGCCTCTTCCCCGAGCCACCTCTCCGGGAACAAAGGGCTTCTGTGTCGGGCTAGGGTGGCCCGGCCGCGTCCGGCTCCGAGAGACCAGAAACTTTTCCCGGGTGTGGACACGGGCGGCGGGGACCCGGCACGGGCCGCCGGGAGCTAGCGGGTGCCCGGGGTGCAATGCCGCGTCCCCAAGGCCGGAGCCCCCGCCTGGGACCACCGCTCACCTCCTCGATGGCCGCCACGGTGTTCCGGCACTGGGCGGTGCGGGTGGTGAAGCTGGAGGCGGTGGGCGCCTTGTAGTCCTCATGGGTCTCGGCCACGAATTCCGACACGGAGATCTGGTCCGGCATCGCCGCGGCGCGCGGGCGCGGACGGACGGCCGCGCGGGAGCCGCCGC